TCAGTATTGTAACGATGAATAGATTAAATATTTTAAAAAAACAGAGCCGGACTTGAAATTATAGTTTAATAAATTGTGTTCAAATGTCCGAAACCTAGAAAATATTAAGCATGGCATATCATTGTACTCAGGAGACCAAGTTTTTTCAAAACCCGAAATAAAAAATGCAGGTCCGTATTTAAAAAAAAATAAGTTCGCCTTTGTATCTCAGACACTGTAATTTAGTTTGAAAATCTAAGAATACCATGAGATAGCTCTGATAAAATGAATACGAGAAAGTGCAATTAGTTTTTTCATTTTCTAAAAACTAACCACAGAAATAATTAATACATTAACTACACATAAAACATACTACAAAAAATAACATTGATTTTCAAAAAAATCCGTTTTTTCCAAATAATTCTTGAAATTTTTAAAACTTTTTTGATAGCTTGTTGGCGAACATCCCAAGGCGCAACTTTGCCCCAATTTAACTATCTTCGTATCTATTTACGGTTACCGAGATACCAATGCTCGTACCTCGAATATGTAGGGCCCTGTATACAACAAATTATTGTTAAGATGTGCACCATTATATACAACATCTGTATAAAACTTGTTTTCATAACTTCGCAAACAATGGCGATATTGGACTTCCTTACACTAATAGGCCACCCTGTATATACCTATAGGTATGTATTTTATGTATTTAAATTTGAGTTTACGGGTGGTTTTCATAAAAGAAAACCTTATACTTATAAACTTATAACCATAAACTACCCACAATTAATAAATTCTAGATCTACCTGAGAGGTAACAAATTTGCCATAGACTGTTGAAAACGGTCTTATTGGCAATTATACTTATACGAAATTTAACAATCATCCTCCCTTAGCTTTCAATGGGGGTTAAATAACAGACCTATACTTTCCGAAAACATGGGTACCGTAAAATGGGGTGAATAGAAACAGTTTCGTAGGCTATTAGCGATATACCGGTTGATAAAAATGTGGTATTATTTTCCCGAATATTTTAAAACATGGGTCTTTGTTTGTTCTTTGCGTATACATATAATTTGATTTTTGAAAAATATGCGTATAAATATTAAATAAAAATAGCATTTGTGTTTCTATTCACCTGCTATTCGGGAGAATAGAACCACACACATTGATGTTAAGGGTTTTATCTATTCTACTTCTAACAAGGTGATTAGAAACAGTAAATAATTACATATTTAAGTAGGTTTAACAATAATTAACAATACATATAATATAACAACTTACATATACCAGCTTATATATTACTTTAAAAATAAATATTTTATTTATAAAGTTTTCGCGCCATACAAAATAGGTGATAAATCGATCTCACCAGTGCCTTCTATTAAAAGATCAGCCTACGGGCGAGATTTATGACGTCACGTTAGTTAGATATAACGGATTAATAAATATGTTGTAGAATACATGGAAAACATAATTATTCCTCAGATTTTTGGTTTGTATTTTAAAAATGATATAGTTTACATGAAATATACATAATATACAGTTAATAACTACAACATATATACCTATTTATAGTAATAAATACTTTGGCAAATAAACTATGAACTATACAAATGCAGCAAATGTTTTACAATGTACAAATAATGTATAGGTACATAAGATAATGGGTAAAATGTAAATATATTTTAAATTTTGGGGTTTGAAAATCGATCTAATTTAACAAAAAACATTCAATATCTACTAATAGTGATGTATAGGTTTGGCAAGAAACAAGTTAAAAGCCACATTAAAAATCTTTCTAGCAAAGAAAGCCTTTTATTCATTAGAAGAATTTTACAGATCCGATAAAGCTGTGTTTATAAGTCTGATATCTAATGTGTAATATTTGTTGTTTGTATATATTAATTCTATCGTTTTTTATTTCTTCTATGTATTTGCTTATTTTACTTAGTTAAGATCTTAGTTTAATTGTAATATTATCTTAACTGTAATTATATTATTTTGGTGTAAAATATTCTTATTTGACAATGTTTCCATGCCTGTTTGGGCTATTTTATGTGTTTTTATTGTAAACATTGGAAATAAATAAAGAAAAAAAAAATGTATTATTATTTGCATTCACAAATTTTATATGTATATTTTGCAAGTATCAATGTTCGAAAAATTATATTTACAAATAATACAATATTATCTAAAAAAAGGCGTCAGCGATGGGTATGAAATAAAGATCGCTGGCATTTTATAAGTAAAATTATTCTAAAATTTTTGATTTTCTTGGGATTTTTAGGTTCGGGAAAAACGCTGATTTAAGTTTTCATTTGGGTTTTCATGATTTTTATTTGGTTTAAAAAAACGTTTCGGCTAACTATAGCCTTCATCAGTGTTGTGTCATATGAGAAAAATAGTGTCGAATATAATCCAAAAAATTACATATACAATATAATTCACACCTCATAATGTTTACTGCAATTAATAAACTAATATAAACTTGACACAACAAAAGATGACCACATATTTTTTAAAATTATTATTCACACTAAACACTAACACTAAAATTATCTACATTGACTATGGAGTACGCAGTAAACATTATGTGTGTGGTGTGAATATATTATATGTAATTTTTTGGACTATATTCGACACTATTTTTTTCATATGACACAACACTGATGAAGGCTATAATGTTAGCCGAAATGTTTTTTTTTAAACCAAATAAAAATAATGAAAAACCAAATGAAAACTTAATCAGCGCTTTTCCCGAACCTAAATCCCAAGAAAATCAAAAAATTTAGAATATTTAGAAACAAGGTTCAAGAATATCAAATTTTCCAAGATTGTAAAATTCTAGTTAATTATTTTATGTGTACAGTTATTTGGGGAATGTCATCGATGTTCATTTCCAAGCCAACTAGATGCCGATTTTTTTCAATGATACGGTATACCGTAAAATGGGGTGAATAGAAACAGTTTCGTAGGCTATTAGCGATATACCGGTTGATAAAAATGTGGTATTATGTTCCCGAATATTTTAAAACATGGGTCTTTGTTTGTTCTTTGCGTATACATATAATTTGATTTTTTAAAAATATGCATATAAATATTAAATAAAAATAACTTTTGTGTTTCTATTCACCTGCTATTCGGGAGAATAGAAACACACATTGATGTTAAGGTTTTTATCTATTCTATTTCCAACAAGGTGATTAGAAACAGATAATTATTACATATTTAAGTAGGTTTAGCAATAATTAACAATACATATAATATAACAACTTACATGTACCAGCTTAAGTATTACTTTAAAAATAAATATTTTATTTATAAAGTTTTCGCGCCATTCAAAATAGGTGATAAATCGATCTCACATTTATTTATCAGCTGATTGACAGAAACAGTGCTGCCACAGATAAAGATATAGTTTTTACATTTTATTGTGTATTACCAATGATAGAAAAATTAGATATGTCGACTCTTTTTACTTTGAATATTTTTAATCGTGATTTGATTTTTATCAGAAATTTTGTTTCTATTCACCCCTATGTTTCTATTCACCCCATTTTACGGTAATTCGTACGTAAAATGTAAATAACATTAGACCAATTCCAATTAAAACAAAGAAATATGAATTTCTTAGTATTTCTAGTAACACCTTTATTCTTAAAACTTAATTTTGTATTATGCAAATATACCAATTTTATTGTTATTTTATTCATATTGTATTCAGCCATCACTTAAATATTTGATATTAATTTAATATTATAAATAATCAACACTATTCATTAAAAATTACTGAACAAAAATATATGTTATGCTTGACAACTTGACATACATTATATATTATCAAACAAAAACACATTCTTCTTTTAAACTGTATCAGTCTTGTCTTTACAAAAATCTTTTTTACAATTTGAACTCAAAATAATAATCTTTTTCATGATCTTTAATACACATATTCTTTATTTTTCCCTAGATCATAATACCTACTTACGTGTTTGAATCTATCGAAGCTGAACCAACAACACTTGGAGTGGAGATTCCACTATATGAATAATAACATAATTGTCCAGTTTTCATTAATACCATCATGGGAGAATATTATTTTTAAATTTATTAAAGATATTTTCAATAGAATTCTCTTGATTTATAACTCGTACCCACTTTTCTTGCTCTTCCGGACACTTTAGGCTGCCTAGTATAACTATCCTTTCCACCAGGAACACAACAAAGATGAGGCATAGCACCAAAAACACACTCCACTTAAGCTTTATTGATGAATTGTTAGAGTCTTAAAAACACACACAAAAATCACGATGAGTAAAAAATGTATGGGCACTTTTAGGTTAAATCACTTACACAACGTGTAATTTTTCAATTTTTCTATTTTTTTATGCGAAACCGAGAGTGACCATATATCTGGTACTAGTTTATGTCACTTAAACACCAAAATAATTAGTTTTTTGCACTACAATAATAAATAATACCAAAAATCATAGAGTTAAAACCAAAAATCAACCGACAAAATATGAAACGGAATCTAACCCAATATCTAAGTATGTACAGCTGATGAAGTAAACAAAAGTCCGCCCCCAGGCTGATCTTTTAAAGAACGGCAGTGATCTCACATTTATTGATCAGCTGATTGACAGAAACAGTGCTGTCAAAGATAAAAATATAGTTTTTACATTTATTGTGTATTACGTGGTATTACCAATGATAGAAAAATTAGATATGTCAACTCTTTTTACTTTGAATATTTTTAATCGTGATTTGATTTTTTTCAGAAATTTTGTTTTTCACCACTATGTTTCTATTCACCCCATTTTACGGTACTTTAACATTTAAGTCTAGTATTTAAATAGCAGTTAAAAAAATTATGGTAATTTAGTATAATTTATATATATCCTTTCATTGACTCAATATAATACAAGTAAGGATAGAAACAAACTGGAAAAGGATTAACAAACAACTTTATTATTTAATAGCAAGTTATTTTAACTTACTTAAGGTATGGTTTCCAGTGGCGGCTCCTCAAGGTAGGCCTCTGAGGCTGCGCCTCACCTTTAAAATGAAGGAACAATTTATTTTTTGTATCTAGCGTTTTATTTTATCCCAGTATACCTTATAACAATTCTACAACACATTCAACATAATAAAACTAAAGAAATATTTTATAAATACATCCAGGTCCAGGCGCAACATAAACCGCGTAAACCCATCCTAAAAAGAAGAAGGAAAGTTCGTATTGTCTGTAAACTTTGGTATTGCCAGGTATTGCCTACCTATTATCAGCGACGATAAGATCACGAGACTCGATTGTGGACTGTTGTGGACTCGACGCGTCGAACGACGGGGAACGCAGTACGCATTTCTATGTGTGCGAACACAGTGCAAGCAGGTTTGCCGCTTTCTGGTAGCCAGCGCCAATCTGGGTACCTATTCTTGACATCGTTCGCAACTTTGCGTATACGCATCACGTGTATTGTTATAAACAGGGTATCCCAGAAATAAGTGCAAGTATTTTAAAGGGTGGTAGATCTAGATAAAAGAAACATATTTTCTCTTTATCGTTTTTCAAATAAGTCCAAAATAACGGAGTTATTTTACTTTGAAAATTTCCAAAAAAAATGATTTTTTGCTCAAATTTTGAGAACCTTCTTCATGTGCCTTCTCCTCATCGGAGGTTGGCGACCATCAATTGGAATTCCTCCCTGTCTGAGCCAAACGGATAATTGCACTTGCCTCTCCTATATTAAACCACTGGTGCAAATTCCGCAAGCAGGAAAACCGTTTACGCCCGATGCCTCGTCGTCCTTCAATCTTTCCCTCAACGATCAGCTGTAAGAAACTATATTTGTTATTTCGAAAAATATGACCAAAATATGCTGCTTTCCATCGTTTTATTGTAGTCAATAGTTCTTGGTCCTTACATATTCTTTCCAATACTTCGATATTTGTTTGAGAACCACTGGATCTTTTCTGGATTTTCTTTCTTATAAATTTAATCTACTACCTATGTTGCCATATTATCAAGAAATTATTTTTTGAAATAAAAACTAAAAAAAAATTGCAAAAAAATTTCAAAAATATTTTCAAAAAATTCCGAATTTTCAAAAAAAATATTTAGAAAAAAACCTCATAGGCGTGTTTCTGGGGTTGAACTATACTACCAGTTAAGTTAAAATACTTGCACGTATTTCTGGGACACCCTGTATATGGTTACATAGTAGCGCCGCGCCGCGCCGCCTTGCGCTTATAACCTTGAGAAATTAAAGCGTGTTATCAAATCGGTTAGTTCACAGTAAAAGCAGGTAGGAGCCGTCAACCAGCGTTCGTCGGCGTTCTCGCTTTTACCGGAACGAAAATGTATTTATTTCTGCTTTGGCAGGCGCCGACGGCGCACAGAGGGTGTTAAGAACTAAAAGTTGGCCAAAATTATGTTTTATGATTTTTTTGCTTTTTTGCTAGTAATATTAATTATTAGAGGACAGGGTGCTAATATGGAACCTCATTTTGTTTTTCCTACACAATATTTTTTCCTCTACTCTGAAACCCTCCGATCAAATAAGGCCACGATCAAATAAGGCCATTCTGTGCAAAACCAAGCAATTGGATGAGGATGCTAGAACAAGAAAGTAATTTGTATATTATAGACGATATTTGAGCGAGGATGGGTGTTATAGGGTAAAGACTATTTCCTTTAAGAATCTATTTAAATCAATGTTTTTTTGGCAGTGGCAAATATTCGCAAGATTTTTGTACATATTCCAAAGCTGGAGACTTTAAGCATTGAACGGATACTAATTTCTATGCGGAATATTGCCCAATAGTCTTACACCTTATAAAAATGCCTCTGATTTTTTAAATATAAAACATTATAAAGAAATAGAATAGAAGGAAACGTTTCCAAATAAAAATATGGCATAAAACAGGACTTGACAGCTGGCTCTGTATCCATCATGACAGTTATTATAAACAATTTGCAAAAAAGCACTATAAACAATTCCACTATTTTATAATCTTAGAAATATTCAGAATACACTCAAGATAATTCATACTTATAATTGAAATATATTATTTATTTGATAGTCAACTAACAACTTAAAAAAAAACTAATAAACGCGCTTACATTTAGTATTTATAGATTTGTATTGAGTTAAGATAAAAAATAAAATAAAAATATTTCACTTTTGGCCAGGTTTATAGACCAAATACCCCTATGTGCGGCGCCGGCGCGGCGGGAGCGGCGTTTGGATATGGTTAGGTTAGGTTAGGTTAGTTAATCAGGTAAATTTCCTCTTAATTAACTACTTCCGAACCCTGCTCGCATCTCCGAAAAAGCCATATAACAATACACGGCATATACGCAAAGTTACGCATCACGTGTATTGTTTATATGGCTTTTTCGGAGATGCGAGATGTGAGCGATATGTGGTCAAGAATAGGTCCCCAGAGACGGCGCTGGTTGCCGGAAAGCAGAAACCTGCCTCCACTATGTTCGTACCCTATCGCAGGATTGAGGCGAGATTTTTGGCGCTTGGGTGTGTTTTCATTGGTAGTTTAAATAATCTGACTATTGACTATTGCGACAACGGTGGACAACGTCTCGATCTTGAAGGCACGACTCAGGTGGATGATTGTGTATGTGTTTTATGGCACGACTCATGAAGTACGTTCATAGCGTGGGTGAATTAATTGGTTATGTTAGAGCTAGAATTATTTAGATTGCTTGTGTTTCTAAATATAAATTATTTGATGGCTATTAGATATAGTATCAACTAGATTACACACAGGTAAGGTAGAATTCTAGCAGTTCTTAAAATTCAACGTAACAAATATTGTTGAAATTTGAAGGTCAGACTTTTCTTCGCCGGTATTATTTATTTTAAAGTATCGGAGAGGAGTTGCATTTTAGTGTTTTCTTTAAGATTAATCCTACTCATACCTTTGTTCTTTCTGTACTTAAAACTCCTTTTTTAAGACGAAATGAAACTGAAAAAATTTTTTTATTTTTCCGCTATATTTAATTATAAGATGCAAGGTAGACAATAGGTATATAAGAACTTTTATTGGTACTAAACCTAATGGTTTTCGTACCATTAAAAAAAGGACAACGCGTCGCAGAATAATACTTCATAGGTGAGAAAATTTATATGTATTTAAATAAAATTATTAACCTCGTGTAGCCTCACATTCTTGTATACTCACGAGCCGCCAATGATAGTTTCGCTGGTGCGTCTGGCGGCTACCACTCGTAACTGCGACGTATCGACAACGACCGAATGTAATATACAGGGTGATCCAAAGAACATGTGCCATCTTTCGTGGGGAAATTCCTCACGTAAAAATAAGATTTATTTTTTCATATCAACATAGGGTCCGAGGTATACCTAGGTCCGATTCTTGTTTCGGAGCTACAGGGTGTTAAACTTTGAATATTTTTTCGATTTATTATAATTCTCTTCCAAGTAATTTTAGCGTTTCGAATGAAATTTTGAGGGTAAAAGTTACTATAAATGCCACATATTTCAAAGCTAAAATAGTGTCGACATATTTACCAGGGGCGTGCATATGGGTTGCCACTAGAATATTTTTCAAAAAAAGTATGTACGCCACTAATTTTTTCCTCTTGTTAGCGAAATAGTGTAAGCAGTTTAATGCCGATTAAAAGTTGTATCTTGATATTTTGACGATTTCGGCCTCCTTGATAAGATAAACGCAATTTTATTAATTTGCCTTGATCCAAGTCTAATAGCAACCTTTAAAAAATTTTAATATCATTAACTTGCGAAAGCTTTAAAGTACTCATTGTAGTAAAGGTTAGGTATTAATAATATATAAAACTTGTATCTACATTATTTCAAATGCAACATGCTGTATTTTTTTAAATAAATCAAAGCAGATTCAAATGCTCTTTCAAACTATATTAGGGTTTCCTATACCTATCTAGCTCAAATTTAGAATAAAAAGCAATTTTTCAATAAAATCGCAATCAGGATGGCTGATGTCTCCATGGCAATTTTCTTGTGTTAGTTAGTAACTATTTTCAAAATCGACATTACTTTATGGACATTATTATTTAGATTTATAACAGTTTACTTAAATTTACTTACAATAATTTAATAAGTATTCATTATTTTATCAAGAAAAATAAAGCAGTGTCTGCTGGCGGAACAAATGGATATGTTACTAGTGATTTTATTTTGTGAGGAAAATTGCTTCTTGGCCTCAAGGGCTTATGCTCAAAGATATCCAAATAGGAATCTTCCTCATAAATGTTCCTTTGAAAAACCGAAAGCTTTGAATTTTCCGTAATTGGTTCTTTGATAGAAAATCCATATATCTACAAGTCATTGTAAAATCAATCACAGAACTACTTCTTCGTTTTTCTTGATAGAATAATAAATACATATTTAATAAATATTATTTATTAAACTATTACAGGTAAATTAAATAAAGTAAACTGGTATAAATTTAAATAAAGTCCATAAACTAATTTCGATTTTGAAAATAGCTACTGTCACTAGAAACTTGTCATGACAACACTAGCCCTCTGGGTTGCCTTTGATTAAAAAATTGCTCTTTATTCAAAATCTGAGCTAGATAGGTATAGGAAACCCTAATATAGTTCGAGAGAGCATATGAATCTGCTTCGATTTATTTTTAAGAAAATACAGGGTGATGTATTTGAAATAACAAAGATTTTATGTAAAATAAATTTTTAAAATAGACTAGCAATTTTTGATATCCCTGAATACATTACACGAAGCAATCATATTTTTCAGTAAAGTTTATTTCTTTGACTTAAAAGTCAGCACAAGAATTAATTCTGAAAAACAATGTACAGGGTGGGTCAAATTCGACGCTTTTAAATGGAAACACCCTTTTCTATAGGAGATAGACAAAAACTAATATCGGTGTCTGGAGCTCAATTTTTGTCAAAAACATGATGGTTATATGCGGTATATCGATACCGCATATCGATATCTGTTACCGTTTCGGAGTTATGGGGTGTTTTTCAAAAATAGGCATTTTTAACAAATCACTGTAACTTTTTTGCTATGGGAAATTTTGTAATTTTATGAGAACATTTTCAAAGCACCTTTTTACGTAGAATTTAATGGTTTAAGTATAATTTTTTTAAAATTAATAATTTAAGAATTATCCACAGAAAATTTGATTTTTTATATGGGACACCCTGTATATTTTTAATTTATTGAAAAGAATTTAAAATTACCTTTCCAAAAATATACACACTTGATATTTTGCTCGATTCCTTTTCGAGATATAGAGTATATAAAAATTCGCCCGCTTTAAATAAGTAGGCTTTGAACGGCACCGGCTGTAATGCAAAAAAATTCT